GAGGAAAATCTGAGATTGGGCAGCTTACTTCCTGAAACCCCAAACCAGCTCTTAGGGTATTTGTGTTTATCCCAAGAAAATAAAAATATCAAGCAGATTGTCGCCAGTTTTTTTTTGTTGTTTTTTTTGGCAAACTCCACAGTCCTCCTGTGTCTTGAGTAGTCCTAGGGTAGCACTCATGTTCCTTATGAATGACACCTGCAATTCACTTTACTTTGAAAAAAGTAGCATTGTCACTACTGAGGATGTTTGTCATGCTGGTCCCCTTTTGTGTGTGTGTTTGGGTGATACACCGAACAATGCAAGTATAAATTCTAATTGGAAAAATAGTGACCGAGTGTTTTAAAAAACTGGTGATTAAGTCTGACAAGATGGCTGAGGATTTATTTATTTTTATGTTGTCTTTCATGTGTCTTTGAAACTTGAGTGCGCCTAGACTTGACAAAGAACCAGATTCTGGACTGTATCTATTTAAGATCGTCAAAGATAATACTTGACAGGACAGCTTATCTGCCCGCTGGTGGCAGAAATGCGGTCAGTTGTTCAGAGGACTGCTGAGCCATTAGCATACCTTGATAGCGAGTGATGGACAGCGTGCTCCTGACTTGCTCTGGCAGGGATGCTTTTTAAGCTGTTAGAAGCTCATATCCACGATCAGTTAGCAGTTGGGTTAGAGTTTATTTATCTGAATTAATTTGCCCTGATGGATATAATGAAGGGAAAGCAGCATCCAAAGTTACAGTGTGAAGGAAACGTTAGAGAAATCTTCTTTTGTTTGTTTACTAAACATTCCTATCACTGAGACAAATAATTCTAATAGGCAATGAAGTCCCCCCTCCCTCTTTCTCCCCCAGCAAAGCGAGCCATAGATATTCATCTGTTTGTTTAGCCAATATTTACTGAACATTTCCTCTGTGCCAGGGAGAGGATACCATGTCGAGGACAAAAGAAAAGGCCTTAAAAATATGGTTGCAGGTGGTTATATAGGTGTAGAAATATTGTCATAGAATTGACCATGGTCAGTCTTTTTTTATTTATTCTCTAATGTCCTGCAACTCCCCGTGGGGGACACCAAGCTCCTGGGAGTGACTACGTGAAGCTGTTCTGTGCTTTGAAAGATGGAGAAAGACCTGGAACGTGAAGGTCATCTACCAATTTATCTGAGTTGCAGCATGTCCCCTGCTGCCATTTCTACAGGCTGTCTTTCCTGCTTCTTTTAGAGGTCAGGTGTCATTTTGAAAAGTGGAGAGAAGGAACATATGGCCACAATACACAGACATAGAATAGGCTAGCAGTTCACCCCACTTTCCTGCTGTAATTGGATTTAGAAAGCAGGTGGCCAACACTTAATTACAGAAGGAAAGTCTTTTAGAGCAATGGCAAAATTCCTTCCACACAAATACTCTAAAGCTCGAGAGCTGGGTGAAAATAAAACCTTGAAGGAAAACTTGGTTTCGGGAAGGCAATTGAGGTTAGACCGAATCTTAATTCTTTGCCTCTCCCCTGCCCAGTCTGATTTGATGACAAAATTTTCCTCTAGGTCCACATAACTCCAGAACATATTAAATAAAATGTGAAACATTCGTTCAATCATTTGGATGCCTTGCCTGCTCAATGGCAGAGTTGTGGGAATATAAAGATATTGTATTTTTATTTTATGTCATGTAGATAAAATGTGAAAATGGAATTATGGAGGTAGAAGGGGTTTCAAAGATTATTTTAACTCCTCATTTTGTCAAAGGAGAAACTGAAGCCATTTGGCCAATGTCACATAGCAAGTTGTTTTTTTTAAAATTTTTTATTGATTTCAGAGAGAGAGAGAGAGATAAACGTCAATGATGAGAGAGAATCATTGATCTGCTGCCTCCTGCAAGCCCCCTACTGGGGATCGAGCTTGCAACCCAGACATGTACTCTTGACTGGAATCAAACCTGGGACCTTTCAGTCTCCAGGCTGATGATATCCACTGAGCCAAACCAGCCAGGGCTCACATAGCAAGTTTTAACAACAGTGAAGGTAGGAGTCAGGAATCATTTTTCTGATGCTAGTCCATGACCCTCTAAAGTTTAGAGTCTAAACTTTACTGCCACCATCATGGCCCTACTCCCCCAACCCCCTCCCAAGTTTTTTTTTTTAATGTTATTATTTATTTATTTATTATTTTTAAAATCCTCACCAGAGGATATTTTTCCATTGATTTTTTAAAGAGAGTGGAAGAGAGAGGGAAAGACAGAGAAATATCGATGTGAGAAAATCACGTAGATTGATTGTGCCCAGAGCAGGGCCCGGGCTGGGGAGGAACCTGCAACCAAGGTGCGTGCCCTTGATCAGGATCCAACCCCGGACCCTTTGGTCCACAGTTCGATGCTCTATCCACTGAGCCAAACGGACTAGTGCTCCTCCTCAACCCCCACTCCCGCCCCCACCCCCAGGTTTTTATCCAGAAGCATGGGAGCTTGTAGGGTAAGCTTTTAGGCCACACCCTCTTTTTTCTGGGATGTTTAGTAAGATTTCATGGAATGGGAAAAATATTTGTTTAGGAAAGGGCAGCTCTCTGAACAGATCAGAAATGAACCAGACTTCTGTAGCTTTTTCATATCTTCCACTATATAGGGTTTCATAGTTCAACTTGTCTGCACAGAAATATGAAGGTGTAATGTCATCAACTATGAGCACTCATGCTTTACAGCTCTCATATATTTTTGTTTTAAGGAAGGAAAATAGAGGCAGCAGGCCAAGTACTGTTACCAAATCTGTTACCTGGGTATGAACTGGGATGCTTTGTGGCTCATCTAAAGTGATAACTAATGTCCAGAATGTTGATATGCCTTAGCCCATGCCATTCCCTCTTTATCAACTATCTTTCCCGTATTCTCTCCTTTTAAAACAATGCTAGCTACATGACTGAATGTAATTTAATATTTAAATAAAATTGGTTCAAACCTTGATCCTACCTAAGGAGAAATTTAACATCTTTCTCACTATCTCTGAGGATTCTTGGCAGGGGCTGGGCAGTGGCGTATATTTCTCCTAGTCACCTCTGGCTTTGATGTTCTCCTGCTGCTAAATTTATGATCCCTGACATACTGTTGCTTTTCTGTACTAGGCACTAGGGTGCCTCATGACATCAGCCCATTTCTGTATTCTCCCAAAGTACTGTGGATTCGAGCTTTTTGTGTAACAGATTACCTCCAAACTTGGTGGCAATAAATGCTTATTATCTCATCCCATTTCTGTGCAGTAGGAATTTGGGAATAGCTTACCTGGGTGGTTCTGGCTCCAGGTCTCTTAAGAAGTTGTAGTTGAGATGTCAGCTGGGGCTGTAGGATCATCTGAAGGCTTGACTGGGGCCAGAGGATCCGTTTCCAAGATGACTCATTGATGTGGTGCTGGGAGTTCGGCGAGGTGCCTCAACTCTGCGTCCAGGGGTTCCTCTTTCCTCCTCTAGAAAAGTTCAGCCTTCTTTTTTTCAGCAGCCATCAAGGATTAGGGACTTGACCTTTCCTCTGCTTCCGAAGGATCTATAAGACTAGATGGGATAACACTGTTAAAGCTTTGAACACCGACAGGGGAAAGGGCCTTATGAAAATGGGAAATTTTATATTTTATGTGTGCACATCACATGCTTAAACTGAATAGTTTAATGATTAGCCATGAAAGAAAGAAAAGGTATAATTTTTATAAAGATAAGTTTTATATTTTAGAATTTTCATTCCTAGGTTTAACTTTCTAGAAAACCTGCAGCATCTGAGAAATTTTCGATGATGGGAAAAGAAAGGGCTCTACTCAGCCAAATAGATGAAAAAGAACTAAAACCTTTAAGTTTGGGAAAATGATCAGTTTTGATATAGTTTTAGTTGTGATGAGAGTGAGTAGTGGGATTTTTTTTAATGCAGTGAATCTTAATATTACAAGAATGTGTTTTCAGTAAAGATTGTTAATATGTGTATTGGTTCTCTTAAAATCTTTATTTCTTTTAATAAATACACTTACATTAACTCTTACCTTTTCTCCCTACATTTTAAACATGAAGGTTTTGCTTATAATTTTTATAGTTGTTGTAGAGAAAAGAAAGAATTTTTAAAATTTAAAGACAATTTACTTGAAAACATTTATATATTTTTATTTTTTTATTATTATTTTTAAAAACATGTAACACTTCACAGATTTGCGTGTCATTCTTGTGCAGGGGCCATGCTAATCTTCTTTGTATCATTCCAGTTTTAGTATATGTGCTGCCAAAGTGAGCACTCATTTATATTTTTTTAGAAACTCATGAATATAACTGGTATTCAGTATTTTGTGATGACATCTATATATATATAAAAGCCTAAGTGACCAGTTGTTTGGTCAACTGGTCGCTATGACGTGCTCTGACCATTGGGGCAGACGCTCGATGCAGGAGCTGCCCCCTGGTGGTCAGTGTGCTCCCACAGCCAACCTCCACAGCCAGCCAACCTCCTGCGGTCCCTCCCTAGGCTGGCTGGCCAACCTCCCGTGGTCCCTCTGGCCCTGATCAGCCCTGATGGCCAGCCAGGCCAAGTGACCTCACCTGGGTACTAATTTGTGCACCGGGGCTCTAGTTTTAAAATATACTTAAACGTTCTTTGAATGTAATGTAAGTAAATGTAAGATTTACTTTTTATATCCTGGACATTTCTGCAATCACTTGACTACATGATTAATAGAGGAATTTCGGGAGAATAATGTGACTCTAAGGGTAGTTTATTTCAAGTAGGCATTTAGGAAACAATGAACTGAGTACTTGAATTCTGTGAACCTTTTTCTAGAGAGCATCACATTAAATCAGCTGCAGAATTCAGAAGGGAAAAATGAACTGGGTTATCCACGTCTCAAAGGTACAAAGAAATAGAACAGTTCTCTTACATACCATCTTTGAGCATAAAGTCAAGGAGATTATTTAACTCATGGTTTCAAAGGGGCTTATTTACAAAATATATTTATGTGACCTTTTGATATGCTTTGTTTTTCTGCAGGACTCACTGCCGTTGTCAACTCTGCCATTTTATGTGCACATTGCTCTTCCACTATGAGAAGACCAAGAGTATTGCACATCTGTCTGGCTTTCTGTAGCCTTCTGCTTCTCAACGGTGCCATACAATGTTTGGCCTTCCCCAGAGTGGAGAGAAGGGAGATAGCGCATGTTCATGAAAATAGAGAGCAGCCTGAGAGGATAAACACGGATGACCTGGAAAATACCTCCATTGCTTCAGAGGGCACTCCCCAGCCCCTGGTCTCTGAAGATCCAATGATAGTGCTAGCTGGACCATCAGCAATGCCATTAAATAAAGTATCGCCTATTGACAAAGAAGCCCATTCTACAGGAGCTGGGCTCATGCAGCCTAATAGCCCTGGTGTCGACACTGCTACGGAGCCAGTGGTCCCAGCAGGGGAAGAAGTGGTTGGTTCCAGCCAGCCAGAGAGAACGTCTCCTGAAAGCCTGCTTCCCAAGGCCATGGTGACCAGCCCTATCATGGCAGCTGGTTCTGGGAATGTGGATGAGAAGGAGGAACTCTTTAGTAGTACCAACGCTGAGCCCACTGTAGAAGGGACCGCCGAAGCAACACAAGGTTTTCTGAAGTCTGCGGACAATCAGTTGTTTACCACTGAAAGTCAGGGAGGCGTTAGTCTGGGACATTCACCTTCATCCTCCGTGAACACTAACAAAATACTAACCACCAATCCAAGGACGGAGAAATTTGAGGCAGACGCAGATCAGAGGATAACTTCTTTTCCTGGGGCAGAGCCCATCGCAGGCACCGAGCCCGGAAGCCTCAAGTCTGATAGGGAGAAGCCTTCGCAGATGACAGCTGGTAATACCCAGGCGACTGCCACCACCCCCGGGCTTGCAACCTCCGAGTACAGCCTGGGTGTTGAGGCAGAAACTGACAGCCTGCTGGGAGCCCCAGAAGTCACAGAGAGTGTCAGCACAGCTGTCCCCGCGGCCTCTGTCCTAGGCGATGAGTGGGATGACACCAAATTAGAGAGTGTAAGCCAGATAAAGACCCCAAGGCCTGGAGGCAATACAGAGACTCCGATGAGAATGGACACGTCTCCGACAGCCCAAGTAACCCCTAATGGTGTGGGAGGCGTGGAAGGGGACGAAGCTTTGACAGAGGCTGCACAGATGGGTCTGGGGCTGCCTAAAGGGGAAACACACTCTGAGACAGCCCTGCCAATAGCGCCTGGGGAGGGGAGGTCATCTGCCTTCACCGATCAGATTTCCTTCACTCCCACAAGTCTGATGGAAGATACAAAAGTCTCTGTTGTGAACCTGTTTCAAAACACTGCAGACTCCATGGAATCCACCACGGAAAACGATGCCCTGTTTTTCTTAGAGACCACTGTTCCCATCTCAGAATATGAGTCTGAGGCTTATCAACCCCTGAGAAATGCATTTAAAGGTAAAAGAAACAAACAAACAAAAAACAAGCTTTGTTTAATTTGGAGTGCTTTCATTTGGTTTTATCATTTTTTAAAAATAGAAATATAATTGTCATTTAACATTGTACGGGTTTTAGGTGTTTTATTTTTTAAAAGTGACGATTTACAAATAACTTCTCTATGCCTCCTCTGGCCTCCATGGGAGACTGTCTTTAGGCAGGTGGTGGGCGGGAGTGAGGGTCACACCCCGGGTGTGCAGGATGCTCTGTGAGCCTCTGGAGAAAGGTGGCTCTAAAGTGCCCCCAGCTTTCTACCCAGGTGGATTGCCTACAGCTTCCTGGTGGCCACAGTGGAATCAAACCCCCCTCAGAACCAGAAATCTGGGAAGCCTAATCCCCAAGCAATGCATGAATTTTCTTTCCTAAAACTTCAGGGCTTCATGAGAATCTGAAATGACCCCATGGATTTTGCTGGCTGGCTGCTACAGCTGTGCAGCATTCAGTGCCCACATCCATCTGTGATGCCAAGGTTTTGTGCAACCTGAGAGCCGCCCCCCCCTTCCCTCAGGTGTAACGTTCACTGGGGAGGTGAGAAAGAGGTGATGGCGAGAGGGATAAAATATCTCATCTTCTTACCTGTAGGCAGAATCCGCCCTCACTTGGTGCTTATTATCAGTTATCCAAGGACAACAACAACAAAGAAAATTCGCTGAGACATCCATTAAGCAAATATTAGAACCAAAAATATTACTGGTAGCAATTGAATTTAAAGCAACTGTATTTTGTGCATTTTAGGGTATTTAAGTACTGTAATTCTTTCACTGAGGGGTTATAGATGGAGACAGACTAACTCATTTTGTTATTTGCCTTAAAATGACTTTGGATCTCTGTTCAAAAAAAGAAGTTATCTAAGTTTTAATCAAAAGCAGAAGTACACAAATAAAAGTATATGTTATATAAAAATTATCCCCAAATTGAATTCCTATATATATATTGACCAGTGGTATTTAAGTGAGACCGGTTTGTCTCTCCCCACCCCATCATTTGGCAAAGTTTGGAGACCTTTTTGGTTGTCCCATTAGAGGGGTGCTGCTGGCTACTGGCACTAGTGGGTAGAGGCCATGGATGCTGCTACACACCCTACAGAGCACAGGACAACCCCCCAACAACGAAGACTTATCTGAGCCAAATGTCAAGGGTGCTGAGAAGCCCTGATACAGACTTAATATTCTTCCAATACTTTATTATGAAAATGTGTAAATATATAGGAAAATGTGAAGGAATTAGGTATATGTTTCAGTGGTATAATAAAAATGTAGGATACTTATTTACAGATTGATGTAAAAATACTCCTATCCTTGATATTTTTTTTGCCAAGAAGCTTTAGGTAAATATTTATCTCATAGTATTAACCATATAGGCTTTTTTGACTTTGTTTTCCCCAAAAGAAGTTCATCTAGAAATAAGGGGGAGAGGCAAGTCTCCTCTGCTGCCTCGGTTCTGCACTGCGTGTGGCTCTTGGCCTTTACATGCGGGAATGTTACCAGCTGACAAGCCTTACATTTGTGGCTGATGGATAATATTTTTCTGTTCTTATGTGTGGTTGGTTAGATAACAGCCTGGACAAGGAAAGACAGTGTAACTTGCATATGCTCATTCTGATTTGTTTTGGAATATGTGCAGCTTGTTACTTCTGCTAAGTAGACTAATTAATGGAAACTGTCAAATTAGTAGTATGTTTTATGAAGTGTTATTGGGATTGAATTAAAATGATAAAAGATTGAATTTTACATGTCCAATTCATTTTTTTTAAAAGACTGAAAGACTGCCCTAGCCAGCTTAGCTCAGTGGCTAGAGCATTGGACTGTGGCCTGGAAGGTCCCGGGTTTGAGTCTGGCCAAGGGCACATGCTCAGGTTGCAGGCTCAGTCCCCAGTAGGGGGCATGCAGGAGGCAGCTGATCAATGATATTCTCTTATCACTGATGTTTCTATCTCTCTCTCTCTCCTCTTCCTTCCTCTCTGAAATCAATAAAAATATATTAAAAAATAAAATATATAAAAGACTGAAAGACCTAGTATCATGTAAGTTTTCATAGAAGCTTCCAGAAAACGTTTTGTAAGCTGGTTTTTACGTTCCATGAAGAGTTGGGTTCACATGACCAGTAAGATATTAGATATGACAGAACAAGGAGTTTACTATAATTCTCTGTAACACTTTAAGGTATTCCTGGAGCATATAGTCATATGGTTCCAGATTATTCATTGCACAATTCAATCCATGATTCTTATGTACTAGACTTGCACTAGCTTCTATTAATGCAGCCTAAAAAGTAAATGAGTTTGGTAATTGTCCGATTATTATTTTGATTATTGAGTATAGTCCTTACTTAGTTGTGACGGCCTCACTTTTACACTTGATCTTAGCCAAAAGGCCAAGAAGCGATACTGACTGCCTCACTTTTAATGGGCAACTTCGTTTTATTTCTAAAACATAGCACAATATCTGGTGCCTAGTAGGTGCTCAATAAATACTGGGTCAATGAGTGAGTAAATGAGGTATGAGAACCTTTTAGAATGAAATTATCCAATTTGACTGCCTGCATTGTCCAAGTTAATCAAACAGCTTCTAAAAGTTCTTCATAGAGAAGCAATCTATTAATTCCTTTCACTTAAATTTTTTTTTTGTGTCCCATAGAGTTAAAAAGAATGTGTGAAAAATTGAGATTGTTGGCAATAGTAGTTAAGGAATAGCCAAAAAGCTTTTACCCATTTTCTAGTGGTTATACGTATTTTTCAAAAAAGTAAGCAATTCAAATGCCAGTCATTTTAGTTCTCAGGACTACTTAGGACATTATCTTTTTCAGGATATGCAATGATTTCTTGGTGTTTGGGGCATTATGAACAGATGAGTACCCTGAGATTATCAGTCTTTGGATTCAGCCTGTTCTTCAGCTGGTTCAGTTGAAGATCAGGTTTTAAAAGTAATTATAATAATGATTATATTTTATTTCTACAGGAAGTAGAAAGAATAAAAAATGTGGAGACTTTTTTTTCAATTTTTATTTAGAAAATTTTATATTTTTTCATCACTATTTATCCCCCTATACTCTCTTTGATCTCCCCCATTCCCACAGTCTCCACACTGTTGTCCATGTCCAAGCCTTCTTTCTCTTTTTTAATTTTTTGCTCAATCCCTCCCCGCTTCCAGCTGTCAGTCTGCTCTCTATCTATGAGTTTGTCTCTATTTTGCTTGGTAGAGAAATTTTGGATGTTATTTTTTAATTTAATTTAATTTTTAAAAATACGTTTCTATTTGTATTGATTTCAGAGAGGAAGGGAGAGGGCGAGATAGATAGAAACATCAGTGATGAAAAAGAATTTTTGATCAGCTGTCCCCTGCAAGCCCCCCGCTGGGGATGGAGACTGTAACTGGGGCTTGTGCCCTGACTGGGAATCGAACCGCAATCTCCTGGTTCACAGGTCGGGCGCAACCACTGAGACACGTCAGCCTGGCTGGATGTTATTTTTTAAATTCTCATTATTATTTATGGTTCTCACTCTCTTTTCTCTAACAGCAGTCACTTATGCCAAAGTACTGTGTCATTTTGATTTCTTGCTATTTCATGAAACTATGACAATAGACCGTAAATTTATTTTTACATATTCTCAAAAGTGTTCATTATGCTTTCAAAAATGAGGGCAACATAAAGCATGCTTACAGCTTCAAATGATAAAACTACACATTATTATCTTTTTATGGTGGAGCATTGTCCTAGGTGCTAAAGGTACAAAAAGGGCAATGAATCCTGGCTCTCAAGAGATTTACAGTCTCACTGGAGAAAGCAAGAAGGAAGCAAAACTTAAACAGTGTACAGAGTGCAAATATGAAGTCTGTGTAAGAACCTTACTGTAACTCACATTGCCCTTTAGCAGGTACGGCAGCACATCAAGTATACACATCTCTTCAACTCAGGAAAAAATAGTCTGAACTGGATGGGGACCAGGAAAAGAACTGTTTGTATTGAAAAACCTACAAACCCTATTTTAAAACAAATAAATTGTTTCCAAAGAAAAATATATTAAGTAATAGGAAGTATCATGATATCATTAATAAATATCAGAAGAAACCTTTTCAGCTATCCCTAGAATGCTATATATTTTTTAATTTATCACTTACTGGACTTGCTCATATGCTGTGGATCTAGAATTAGCATTTAAAAAAGAGAGACAATAAGGTCTTCCAGAAATTAAATTTCGATAGTGGCTCAGTATTTGAAATCTGCAGCGTGATTCCTCCCTATGAAGGGGGCAAATATTGACCCTTATAAATAATCTGTAATAATTTATTTTAGGGGATTAGAACGTAAAGAAAGGGGCCTTGGACAGATCATATATCCCACAGGTCTGTTTCATTGTCTTTTAAGATCTAAAAGCAAACTCAGACCTACAGGTTGTTCCTTGGATAGCAGCAGGATGCCCATGCTCATGGCTGAAGAATATTCCACTGTGTATATATGTACTGCAACTTCTTTATTCATTCATCCAATGACAGGCATAGTTAGCACAGTGGTTAAGAGCACTGCCTATGTAATCTTAGGCAGGTTCCTTAGCTTCTTTAAACCCAAGTTGTTTGTAAAACAAGTAATAATAGCTGGTATTTATTAAATACTGCACTTAGCTTTTTGTGTGTTTGGCCTTAATAGAAAGTCAGTAAACATTAATTATTGGAATTCTTATCCCTTTAATTCAAAATGCTAACTTTCAAAATTGCCAGTGAAAATTAATTTAAAAAATTAATTAATTTAAACAAATTAACAAATGCTTCTGAGAATTTTTGCAAATAACTTAGTTCTTAACAAACTGATTATGTTGAAGTTCATAAAAGGGAGCTTAGTTGATCTTCCTATTTTGTTTTAGATTTTATGTCTTTTTTTTTTACATGAACTTCTCTAACTCTGTCTTAGATTGATTCCCTACCCCTGAGAGCAGCAACACGGAGAACATGTATTCACTGGCATTTTATTCCTGAGTGACCCCTTTGCCTTCCCATCCCCTGAAATAGCTGTGATTGTTTTTTCAATGTATCAATTATATAGTGACTTTTTGAGGTGTAGGAATTCGATCTATTTTAAAACGTCGTTTCCCCTCTTTTAAGACACCATCCGTCCAGAGCTGACGACGGCTGTTGCAGAGGCAGCAGCCACTTTCTCATTGGTGACACGGGAGCCGCAGGTGTCTCCCCTCCAAGTGAGCAGAGGAGATGGGGAGACCGAGGAAGGAAAAGAGGTCCCCGCTGCCGCGTCTGACGTCCCCGGAGTTACTCAGCTGTCGAGAAGATGGGAGCCTCTGGCCACTACAGTTTCAACTACAGCTGCGTCTCTGTCTTTCGAAGTTACCCCCGCGGTGGAAGGTCTGAAAGGGAGGGAGTGGGACTCAGTGTGATGGGGGTGGACCTTTTCTGTGGGTGGATGAGCAATAGAATGAGTGAGGCAGATGGTGGCCCTGTCACCAGGGTACGCACACACCTGGAGAGTAAATAGGAAGGCGGGTGGACTCTTACTTGGAGAGATGCCACACAGCCTCAAACAATGAGGTGTTAGTTCCCAAGAAAAACCTCCTGGCGGCTTATCTTAAGGACTGGAGGAAAGCCTCACTTCCCAAGACCTCTCTCCTAGTTGGACAACTCTGGCTGCTCGGAGTTGTTAAAGGGGGAGAGACAAAGAGAGTAAGCACACGTGTTTGAATCCCCGCTGTGGCCCTCATTAGTATTGTCTTCAAGCCTTGGTTTGTTCATCTTTAAGCAATGCTTATCTACCTTAAATGTTATTGTAAGGGTTTGAAATGATGTATACACACTGCTTTCTCCATAGGAGGGCCTCAAAGGCTCTGAAATCGTAAAGACAGTGAAGTTTTCAAATTTGGGTGATTATCAGGATGACAAAAATTATTGTCAGTAGTTTTAAATTCGTAATTTTTAATAATTACAAAATTATTATTATTTAATTATTTTTGGGGGGCTTCATATGTTTGTCTCATCATTGGCTCAAGTAAAGTCCACTTTTATTTATTAACTGAGTTATTTTTAAAAATGTAATAAATGCCTTCTAATCCTATTATTTTCTCCCCTCCCCCCCCCCCCCA